ATATATATATTTTCATTCTCTAATCATTTCATTGTATCTTACAATTATATTCGTAGCAGGAACTAATAGTAACACTTAAAAATGACAGATGGTGTAAAAATGTGTCGGCCCCTTTAATCCTCCCTGGTGAGATTCGAACACGGGTTTCACGGTCAGAATGCGGACGTTCTAACCACTCGGTCATCTGCCGGTGGTATATGTTGTTGTCCTCTATTTACAGAACCAATCGCGATACTCAGACCTCGTATTTAAAGAATTTGGTATTGCAAAAGTGAACGGTGAGAAGATAATTTACACTATTGCCTGATTTATTAATCATCAATTTTTAGTATTGAATGTAAATTGGAAAGAGTTATTGTTGGGAATTTCAGGTAACTACTCGATCAACACGACTTCAGAGACACTAGGAGTGTAGAAGCATATTAATATTTTGTGTTTGAATTGTAGGCGCTAAAGTTATAAAGCCTTTCAATGTTGATGTTACTCTCAAGATAAATGCAATGTATTATTCGTGGGCATATTTTTGAGATACACAGATAAAAATCAACAAGCACGGAGGTGAAATGCATATTGATAAAAGAAAAAAAAATCCATTTATATTCTGTAAAGCTCTGTAGAAATGGTTTCAAACACTTGCAAAGGAATGGAATGACTCACAGCCTCTTCAAATATTAATCGAATAGAAAACTTGTGATCCATCTTTAAAAGAGAAATGTATGAGAATAGTAAACTATATTCACGCAAAAACAAAAAGATCTCTGGAAAGAAAGTAAATTGTTCTTGCATGTACTGTTTAAGTTGATATAGTAGAAAATTTAACAGAATCAACGAATGAAACATTTATAGACATTTTATGTATCAAAGTGTTCATATCAACAGGTAAAAGAAAACACTGTATTCAATTCTCTTGGATATCTGGTTAAATTCTGTGGTTGTTGGATGTATTCAGCATATTAATTTATGTGGAATTTTGTTTTTTGAAATAATAAAAGCGTACACATCCAAAATAAATTGTTATATTATTAATTAATTTCCTTTGATTACTTGTTTATACTTATTTTTTCCATGTCCTGACCACCCACCTAAGGTTAGAAATAGCATCATGACAATTTCCATTGAGCATTTAAAAAAAAAAGCTGATAAATTTTACATAGATAAAGCCCTTCATAAGGCGTCGCTGTACATGCGAGAACAATTTTTTGTATTTCTTTAGGGAATGGGCTACCAGAAATCCATTCAATATGTCTATTGGAATATTTTGCAAACAATCCAAGAGCTTCAACTAAAATTGGAATTGATTTTTAACAACCTGCGTCTGATAAACGGTGGGACAACATCACATGACAAACATGAGTGCCTAAATCTGGTTCCAAAGTTTCCATCCTCATTTAATTTTTTTCATGAATACTGTCCCTTGTTTCGTCAGGTTTGTGCCAACTGTTACTTATGAAAAATTGTTGGACAAAAAGGATTCCGTTAGGAAAAGAAAATTGTGTTGTGCCTTTTCAAATCAGTGTTTATATTCTGTGGTGTTAAGTCCTTGTTATATATATATATATATA